ATGTTTGGACATCTAACTTCCTAATTAATTATTCACCTAAGTCCTGACCAGAAGCAAAACACATTTGTCCAGCAAACTGTGCAATCACTGGGAACTGCTGAGCTCCTGCCTTTTTGGTGTGCTGTTGAAAATCAAATTATATAGCTTGAGAAACAGAACTGTAATTAGGGTCAGTAGAAAACTGAGGGTAGGATAATATTGTGGATTCTGCAATTTTTTGTCATGTTGCTCCAAAATATGCCAGAAACCAGAAGTTTTATTGCTTGACAGTGCATTAACACTGTCAGTGAAACATCCTCTGCTTCCTGATGTGGAACTGGCCCTTCTGTGAATCTGTTGCCATGGCTGGCCTCAATTTACGATAATTCACAACTGAGCTCCTCCTGGAGTTGATGGCAAAGCTCTTGTTAACTCCTGTAGGAGCTGGACAGGTCTAGGCAGGGAAAATAGGGAAGGATAAGGAAGATGATAGAGCAGAGCTGAGGAGAAAAGAAAGCAGGTTATGGTGTGTCATTGTAATCTCCCCAGTTATCAATGCCTCTCATACTGATACCACCAGGAGGCTTTTTCACGGATTAAAATTATGTTACAACTAAAAGTTAATCAGTTCTTATTTTCCTGTTCTCCATCACACTCAGAAAATCTCTGCTCTAGGCTACTGCTGCTTCTGCCTCTGGGCTCTTAAGCTCCTCCCTTTTCTCCTTAGATTTTCTTTTCCTAACCCCTCATCCTTCCTGCACATCTTTATTACAGCTGTTTCCAGATCTTGCCTCTTGGGGGGCTCCATTCTCTCCACTTGCACCATTCCAACTCCCAAAATAATCAGCTGTGGGCAGGCCAGTGACTGACTGATGTGTCATTGCTGGCCCTTTCAGCCAGGAGAATACACCTCTTGAGATTATTCCTTCAGGATGTCAGCAAATTCAGGCAAACGTTACAAGACTGATATCATAATTGGAAGGCTGCCTAGGATTAGTTTTTATAGGAAAAAAAATTTTTAAAAAATAGATGTTTTAACTCTTGTGACTATAGTGGTGGTCTGAAGATGTAATACAGGTTCAAACAATTATTAATATAATACAAGATACAGGCTCAAGCTTCACTCCTTCACAGGAGAGGGAAATAAAAATGAAGGGAAAAAAAAAAAGAGCTAATTGTGGAAAAGAAGCACAGAAACAGAAGAGGTGGAAAGGAAAAGAGTGATGAAAAATTATAGAATGCTTTCATTTTTTGTTGAAAAAAGTGTGAAAAAAATATAAAAGCCCAAGAAGCAAAGAAAAAAAATAAAAGGAAGAAGAGTAGGAAGAAGAGCGAGATAAGCTGGGGGCTGGTTGAATTCTATTTGAGCACTGCAGTGAAAAGTTCCAGCTATGGAATTACAGTCCAGATTGTGAAGTAGTCTATGAACAGACTGGATCTCTGACTTAGGGACTACCACTACCCAAACACTTCCCAGGAATAAAAGGCTGAAGTAACTGTGGAGCACCGCAGGACTTGGAGGAACCTCTGCATGAGGTGGAAGAAATAGACTGGATACAAATGGAAGTGCTCAGAGCACATGAGCAATGGGTGAGCTCCAATTGTTGTATTCCTGCACTTCCTGCTTTCTGACAGCAGTGACATTACAAGTTCCCTTCACACTGTGTGTGTGTGTGCATATATATACACAAACACATGCATATTGAAGAATTTCTTAGCTTTTTAAGGAAGGAAAGTTGATTTCCTTTCACATGTTACTACTTTCAGTTCCATTTGTTTCTTTGGAAGGAATTCCAGATCCACAGATTGAAGCAGAGATTCATGGACAACTCTTACTGTGCAGTAGTGTATCATCCCTGTGCAGGCTGCAAGGAGAAAAGGCATGCATTTTTATTTAGTAGATCTCAGTAGGAAAAATAGAAAAATATGCAAGTCAGAAATTTTGGGTTCTATTCCACATTCTGGGAGGAACCCATCTAGGCACATCTCTTAAAACAACTCTGAAGTGTTCAATTCCTAGTTACTCTAATTTTTCCTTCTTACACTCCCAACTTAGCCCTTTTACCCTTACATCTCCTTGTCACCATCCCTGTTTCTTAGTCTCCTTTCAGCTTCAGGTTTTAGTCCCCACCGTGGCCATATTCCAGCTGCCAGGAGCTCCTTATTCTAGACCTCATCCTAGTCTCCGTTGCTTCCAAGCTCTGTGGTACTCCAGGTACCTCAAATATCTTGTCACAGGGCTGCACCACCTGCATTTCCACCCTGCTCTCTGTCACAGCACACAAGTTTAATCCAAGCCTGCCCATTCTTTACTGAATGACTGGAAAACAAATGGCAGAGGTTTGGTCTAACTGAGAGGCTTCTGATAGGAACAGTAAAAGTTGCCTCCTTGATATCAGCATTTGTGATCTGTCCCTCCTTCAGGGTAAGGATGGCCTAGGATTGCTACAGGATATCCTTCATTTTGGCTTGTGTTACTTGGGCTGGATTTATTCCAAAGTATTGAGATGAGTTGGATACTCTGCAGTGTAACTTTCAGCTATCATCATTAGTATTTGCTAATGTTGGAATACTGTAATTCAGCAAGAAAACAGTGAATTAAATTGAGAGTGTAAAAACCTCAGCTATGGGAAGCCTTATCTTTATTATCCATAATGTCCCAACCTCCTTTACAAAATAGCTACATCTGCTTTGAAAATTGCAACTGATGGCCTCAGTTCACATTAAACACATTTACAGGCTCTCAGACTTCCTGGGATGGGGAAATTATCACCATGAAGGCAGAAATGGAGAAGCAGAGGCATCACAGGGTGGTTTCAGAGTGCCACAGGGGACAGGAGGGAAAAATAGATCCCACATTAACTTTAATTCCTGTTGTATCCTAAATATTATAATTCTCTCCCCATGGTGTCAGTGGATTCAAGGAATTCACAGTGACTGAAGCACAGTGAGTGCCCTCCAGGTGTGCCAGGAAAGGCAGGAATCAGTGAAGCGGTCTTGTGCTGTATGCCAGAGAGACACAAGCAGTTCTTTTCCCAAAGAAGTTAATTATCTAGGAAGCTGTTTGCTGTTGTATCATTTATGCCAACAGTTAATTCATGACAGGGCCCAACCTACTCAAAAATCCTTGACTTGCAGGATCATGGCTTGAGAAATGATGTTAAAATTTAAAGAATTACAGTTTTTTTGCTAACTCTACCATGCCAGCTTATTTATCATTTAGCACATGATCATGGCTGTCACTGATTTACATATGAAACATGAGAGGTTTTTCTCCTCTAATCCTGATGTCCCAAGGCTATACATGTGTACATAAACCATATGTAAAAGAGATGAGCTCTGTTTTCCAAGTGTGAGAAGGAAATTGCTCTACTGTGAGACATACACACGTCATCCCTTTGCCTTTGTTCCCAAACATGGTAAAGAGCAATAAAGCTGTTTGTGGATTATAATGTGACGTTGAGGAAGAACGCACAGTTCCCATTTTCTTCTGCCTGTATGTATATAACAATGTCAGTGTGGGCATCCAAAGAATTAATGGTTATGAAATGCTGCTCAGCAGCAATTTATAAAAGGTAAATGACACACAGCAAAGGAATCTCCCTTCAAATCACATAGCACATGAAACCATTTTGGTCTGTGACAACTACACCACTAGATTTTTTCCATGTTTATCCAAAGTAGCTTAGTAAGCATAACATGCATGCCATTCACTAAGACTGTGCACCAAAATACAGAGTATGATGACCCCAAGTAATGTCTCCAGTGCGTGTAAGCTCATCAGAAAGGAGGACTGGCTGCTGCTACCTCTGTAAAGTATCTATTTCAATTAATTTTTGTCAGAGAAGGGACAAAAATAGCTCTCATTCTACTACATCTATTCAACTGTTACTTTGGTGGAATCACACCTGTGTAAATTTCTTAGAGGTGGGAGTTGTGCACATGTTCTGTGAGCTAATGAGACTTCAGAAAAGGTTGTCAAGAATGGCACAAGACATGTCTATTCTTTTTTATTCAGAATGAACCCATTTATCTTTCTCTTTGCTAAAAAGGGCAATTTCAGGGTTTTTCTGGTGGCTGAAAAAAGTAATGCTAGATGCAGGCTTCCTTCTGTCCCATATGTCTTAAGTGTACAAAGCTTTTTTTAGAGAATTTTTTCTTTTTTTTTCTTTCAGGGCAAACCAGTTCTTACTAAAAATAATTGTTATGAGATCAGATAAAATGGGAGGAATGTTGTTGGCAGATCCTGAAAAAAAAAAAAAAAAAAAGAAAATATAAAAAGGGCTAAATCAGCCTAATCCAGGCCTGTAATACAAGCAGAGAGCTGAAGAACCTTCCCTGTTCCCCAGGGCTGTGGTTGACAGCTCGAGAGCTATTTTAGTGGCTGTGGTCAGAGGATGCAAAGTGCCAGGACAGTCGTCTCCACCAGTGTGGGAATCCAGGGCTTCCCTCTGGCTGCCCTGGCAGGTCTGGGACCCTGGCAGGGGTCAGGAACCCCCCTGTACAGAGCCCCAAGAGACACTGTCTCTGATCTCTGTCCATGGAAAAGAGTTTTCAATCTTACAGGATGAATTACAAGCTCTGAGTGTTTGATAAGAGTAATAATTAAGTGTGGCACGGGTGCAAAAGTAAAATTTTAGGTTTCTAGATTAGGGGTTCAGAGGGGACAAAATGGAGGAATTGGGTGTGTCTTGTCCTTTTTCTCCTTCTTCATGTCCTCCATGTTTCACTGTAGTGTTGGCATTTTTCTATTGGTTTAGGCTGTTTAATGTAGGTGACAGATATTGGCACATTATTGTAAATATAGCACATGTAGTTTCTGGTATATAATGTTTGTAACATCCCACTGAGGGCAGAGCCCCACACGCTGCCCTGCAGGACAGACCTGCGGCAGGGCAGCAGAACATGTTAGAGATAAACAGAATAAACAACCTTGAAAACAGCACAGACGAATTATGGGTTCTTCTTTAGCAACGGGGCAGAAAGACAGAGACTTTCTACAATCTTGGAATCATCAATACCCACAGATTCTGACACACCAGTCTGCCGAAACCCCTGGGAATGCCCCACAGAGCCACTCACAGCCCTGTGATGGGGCTTTTGGAAAGGCACAAGGACAAGCTCTGTGCCCAGCTGGGGGCCTGCAAACACTAAGCACAACTGCATCTCTTAGATTGGTCACACCTTCCTAGATATGCATCTGTTTGATAACAAACATTCAGGTCTAGCTGGGACAGAGCTGGAAATACAGCAAGGACTGGGTACCTGGTGATCATCCCTCCAGCAGGTCTTGAGATCACACCCAGTATGAAAGTAAAACTTGGATGGCTTTTTGGTGTTACTGTGCTCTTGGCTTTGAACTTCACACTTCTGTCTCCTCTTCCTTCACACCAACGTCTTCTCTCAAGCCTTTAGTACGGAGCAGTGCCAGACCCCTGCTAATTTCTGGTGTTGTGCATAATTTTCCATCTTTTTAGCCCATTTTTGAGGTAGACAGCAAGCCCTCGAGGTGGGGACTTGCGTCATCTATTAAAAAAATCCACTCGGTAATTATTTATGATTCGTTTATTGTAGCATTTGTGTATATTTTTTAATAACAGTTATGGACCACAAATGTGGAGCAGACAAAAAGATTCATGTTGTCAGGCAGACTGAAAGGGATTTTGCAGACTACATGTGTTGTCAAATACCTCCATCAGTGGACAAATTTACTGCACATCTAAATTCAAATCAAGCCAGGGCAAACCAGTTCCCTTTTCTGTGAATTGGTTAGCCACAGTTATTTGAACTGCATCAAACAAGCTGACATGGAACTGTTTGGCCTGTTGGTTTTACATGTAGCTGTCTTTACTCTGTTTAAGAGTAAAAGTGAAAGGTCTGAGATAGGTTGGGGTCTTTTTTCTTCAAATAAAGCATTTCCTTGTAAAGAATTAATTGACTGAATGTGTTAAAAAAAGTGCCCCTCAAACAGGTGAATTTTATTTTTGAACTAGAAGAATGCCAGGATCCAGTTGTTCATTTATAATTCAGCACTAAGCTAAAGAAACAAAGGCAGAAAATGCATAGTTGTAAATCATGCTTGCAGCCACAGAACAATATAATGCCGAGCAGCCATTTTAGGTTTTTGGTTGCTTTATACCCTTTCTACATAATGAAGCCTGTTAAATGAATCCTTATGGGAATTGTTCCCAAGGTTTGTGTTTTGTATATGAAATTCCAAGTACAAGAGTTTAATTTTGTGAGATAAATTATTCTGTAAAAATTTGTTCAAGGTACTCTTTTTTTGAAAAGGCTACTTGCTTTCTAGATATAACAACAGCTTTATCCTTTTTAATAAAATGCAAACCCAATATGTCTGGAAAAAATATTTCAATGGAATTATTTCTGTCAGAGGGAATAAAGGTGGCAACTGCAAATCCTAGTGTATTTTACTCAGAAGAATTCCTAGATAGTCTATAGCTAAATACATGGACCAGATCTTCCTTTCTCTTCTATTATGGAAATCTCAGAAAGAAATAAAGTGTTGCTGTTTCACTTCAGTCTTCAAAGTGAAGCCCTAACAATGGATGGAGCAGAGGCTCCACTCAGTAAATGTGTGTAATTCTAGCCCACTTTTTTACCTTAATGCTTTTTTTGATGAAATTATCACACTCTCTCTTCCAAAAATTTGCTTGTGGATAGATGTATTATTTTTCTCAGTGGGAAATAATCCAGGTGTCCAATCAGCCCAAAGGTTGTGCACTCATAATTTCTATTTAAGTCAATTAGAACAGTGCAGATGTCTCTTCTATTTGATGATTTGCTTCCAGAGAAAGACTGGAGAATTAATTAAAATACACAATCTAATTGAACGGAAAATCATAAAATTTTGTTTCTAGGAAACAATTTGTGAGTACAGGGGATCTAAAGTTGTGCATTATATCTAAGTAGAGAACATATCATCTCAAGCCACTCCACCAAAGTTTGAGTCTGAGGTCAGTTTTCAGACTGCGAGTCTAATTTAGTTTCAGAATGGAGCTTAAGGTTCCCAACATCCAGAGACCTGGGTGGGGGCACAGGGGGGCAAACATGTGATTTTGGTTCCAGTTAATTTCAGATTTATTTCTGTTTAGCAGATCAGTTTTCTCTTTCTAAAAGTGTTTTCATTTTGGCAGACTCCTCAAATGAAAGGCTTATTTCAAGATGTTTCCTGTTGAGTAACTGCTGCTGCTGAGAGGTAAAGGGAGACATACACAGTGCTGAAGGGAACGTATGGAAATGTCATGGCAATGACAGGCACGAGGCCAAAGGCTGCCATTATCTTTCCTTCCATCCCAGAGGAGCTAAGCAGGAGTGCAGAGGGAGAACATGCTACATGGCATTAGCAGATCCATCCCTCCAGCCTTTTGGGTGCTGCCAGCCAGGTATTCTGAACATGGACTATGAATTGTGTTTCACGTGGTCATAGCTTCCAACCCTTCCCTTTTCTTGCACAAAGATTCCCAGTAAGCTTTGCAAATGTGTGGGAATTCTTCATCATTTATTTCCACTGTGCTAAAGACACTAGAAATCAGCAAAACAGAATTCTGCACAATACTCCCATTTGGACAAACCCATTGTAAAGTGAAATAGCAGCAAAGAATCTGCCTTTTGTCAGCAATCTTGGCATTTTGATGGATTATGGAAGATCACAGTTTCCAACTAGGCATTTCTGTGTTTCCCTACTAATGACCTCCCTTTCTGCAATTACTCCATAGTATCTATACCCATCTGTCACAGCCATAATAATGAATTTAACATTAAACAAATTTTTTCTTTACAGAATAAAGGAGAAGAGACAATGAAGATAAAATCTTGGATGCTTAAGACGAATTTTTAAAATTGCTTTGTGGATTAACAGGATTGTCTCTGCTGTTACGTTTAAGTCCCCTGAATACACTTGGACAAGCCTTTTCCTGGTTCTTACAACCAGCCGGAACTCCTTGGTACAGTTGCTGTAAGAAGGCAGTAGCTGGAGAGAAATCATTAAACAAGTGAGGTCAGTATCTCAGGAGAGTCTGTCTGCAGAACTTTGTAGGTAAAACATCAGCTATGGAAAATTTTCAGCTTTTGAGGAAAACCTGTTGTGAAGGACTAAGCAAAGGTACACACAGCAGGATATAGGAAGAGAAAAATGTTTTTGACTGCTTGGGAGCCCTCACAGAAACCAATAAGATGTCCAAAAGGTCTAAGAATTTGAGGGAGAAATGCTTGTGAAGCGGAGCAATTTTGTGAATTGCAGCTGGCTTCACAGAATCCTTAGATGAGGAACAAAAAATGCAAGGCAGTCTCTTGTGTTCTAATTTAAAGTTATTAATTAATGCATTTTGAACCACTTTTTTTGGTGCAAAGGGATCCTAATTATAGTGTAAAATTCAGATGTAATTGATGTAAAAGATCTTCATGTAAATGAAAAGATGAGCTGCTGTGTTTGAAACTGAAGGGAAGAAGAAATGCCCTGTTGTAAGGTCACAGTTTATGTGGGTCGAAGTCTCAGCTGATTTATGTTAAAGGTTAACTCACACAGAGAGAACATGTTCAGGTACTTGTGTAGCAGATGAACCAGCACTGCTCTCCTGGGTGAGGCTATAATGCAGTGATAACAAAGGTAACTTGCTTATTTCTGTGACTTAGAAGATTCATTCCAAAAATTGCATGAAAATGCTACAAATTAAGAGCTTCGTAGAGGAAAGCTCATGGATTTAGCTGTGCTCAAGAAGGACTCTTGTGTCCAAGACCTTCCTGCAGCCTATACCAGGCTTTCCTCAGTGATCTGAATGTAAGTGGAGGCAGGAGCACCTCTTTCTTAGTTAACATATGAATGCAACCAGAATTTGTTTATTAGGGTGAAATTTCCTACATCTCTGTACAAGTCACAGACCAGGATTCCAAAGCGATGCTTTTAGTCCCATTTTGTTCAGCTTCAAAGGCATCACTTCTTGTGGTGTGCTTTGACCTAACATCATCTGATTCATGCATGAAATCCCCCTGTAGTTCCCTGGGCTAGTTCATCTTCTGAGCTTTACCAGCTCCTCTCCCTTCCTAAGCAAAGCCTGGAAAGGGAGAGGGGTCCCTTCCAGCCTGCTCTGAGTTACCACAAGTGTGGTCAGCCCCAAAGGACCATTATGAGGCAGGAATCCCTGTGCTTTGGTGGGACAGGAGGAGCATATCTGCTTTCAGCTGTCCTCTGGACACTCCAGCTGTTCCAGGCTATGGAGAAGAATGTGAAGTTTGTGACGGTTTTTGTCAAATGAATCTTATAATGTGTCTTTTTTAAAACTCCTTTTGAGTTTTCTGATGAGGTTAAGAGATGCAGGGCAATGCACAGCAGCTTTATCAGAGTAAGTAACTGGCCTCCTTTGGTTTTAAAGCCAAAATTAAACTGCTAAATGCAAAGCCCACCTCTACAATGGCAGACTGACTTTGGCATTATATTTTCTCTGGATTTGGTTTAGAGTAATGTTGTTATGTTTAGAGTAATGTCTATGAAACATGATTATATGGTAATTCCTTTAAAAAAAAATTAATTCCCTGCCTTTATAGATCAATGACTTGTTCTTTTCTCAGGACAAATACTGATGAATTCATACAAGGTTTTATCAATTTTTTAGCATTGTAACATCACCACCTTCTTGCTGAAGCCCTGTTTAATTTCCTGCTCTTGTTCTCGGCTGTTGCTCCAAAGGAGCACACAAGGATTGCCCCTGCTGCTGGGTTTTAGGAATGGGCTGGCAATCTTGCAGATTCCCATTCAGTTGTGCATTTTTCACCTTATCCATCACTTCTTGTGGAAAGAGATGGGCATCTTATCTTCCTAGCATTTTTATCTGAACATGTTTTTACCAACACATTGGCTCATATTTGTAGAATCACAGAACCCTAGGATGGTTTGGGTTGGAAGAGACCTTAAAGACCATCTAGTTCCAACCCTGTGCCTTAGGCAGGGACACCTTCCACTACAGCAGGTTGCTCAAAGGCCTGCCTAAATTGGCCTAGAACACTTCCAGGGATGGATGCCAAGATCCAGGTGCAGGACCTTACACTTGGCCTTGTTGAGCTTCATAAAGTTCACGTGGGCCAGCCCAATTCTGTCAAGGTTCTTGTGGCATCCCTTCCCTCCACACGTTGACAGCACCACTCAGCCTGTGTCCCCAGAGAATGTGCTGAGGGTGCACTGAATCCACGGTTCCTGTCCCTGACAGAGATGTTAGACAGCATCAATCCCCATACTGACCCCTGAGGAGCACCACTCATCACTGGTTTCCACTTGGACATTGAGCTGCTGACCTCAGCTCTTGCAGAGTGACCATCCAGCCAGTTCCTTATCCACCAACTGCCAACTTCACCAGACTGCCACAATTCCTCAAATATGATGGATAGTGGCTTAGCCACTTCATCCACTGGTGCCCGCAGGCATGCCCATGGATGCATCTCATCAGGTCCCATGGATTTGTACAGCTTCACGATCCTTAGATGCTCTGGTACCTGTTCTTCCCTTACACTGTGTTGTTCTTCATTCCATTTGCCTTCTGTGACTTGGCTGGTGTGGCTGGAGCCCCTGCTGGTGAAAATGGAGGCAAAAACATCATTGAGACCTCACCCTTCTCCATGTCCCACCTGGGTAATCAGGTCTTCCATTTCCTTCTGAAGATGGCCCACATTTTCCTTGGTTTTTCTTTAATCATCAATGTACCTATAGAAGCCTTTTTTATTCTCTTTGATGTCCCTGGCCAAGTTTAATTCCATCAGGGTTTGGCTTTCATAATCTGACTCCTGGCTACAATTCTGTCTATATTCCTTCCAGGCTACCTGTTCCTGCTTCCACCCACTGTAGGCTTCCTTTTTCTGTTTGATTTTGTCCAGGAGCTCTTGGAGGCTTTTACGGATGATTTTATGAATATACCAACCCTATCAGATGCTAATAGTTATGGCTGTAACCAGTTTAGGATGATTCTAAACCATGAACAGGTAACCAATGAAAGGGTTTTATTTCTTTGCAGATATGCCAATACCCTAGTACAGTTGTTTTAATAATAATAATTTTAAACATTGCAAAGCTGGCATTTCCCCTTCACCCACTGGTGTAGTCACAGCAGAATGAATGGATCATTGTTAGAAGAGTCATTTCCCTGCACAAAGCAACCTCTGTTCACAATTGTAAGGTTAGAAATGTTCAACCAGTCATGACATTTAAATAAAATGATTGTCTGAGCATCTCTTGGGGTTACAAATCATTCTCTCTCCAGCTGGTGCTACCTGTCCTTTATTAGAAATCTACAGAATCTTTAAGATGAACAACAACTCTAATGGAAACAGTCTCTTGAAATATGATTTATCTTCCCATGTTCAGAAGCAAAGAGCAGTTGTTTGTACCTTGAATAAAGATATTAGTTTTGTTTCCAGGACTAGAGACATGGGAGGAAGCTTAGAACAAAACCACAAAAATGTCAGTGGAAGCTTTTGAGAAACTGAGCTATGGGAACAATGAAAATTTTTGGTTAGTGTCAGAGAGCAGTTGATATTTTGGGGATAGTTGATGTCTGAAGAAGTCTATGATAAAATTTACAGCTATTTAGAAGAGAAAAAAAAACAGGAAATACAGAATTTATCTAGACACAGTAAGCCTAAGAGAAACAAGGGAAGTTTTACAAAGAAGACCTTCTGACAGTAAAATGTATTCCAGATAGTAGAAGGTTGTTTTTTGAAAACTCTGAAAAAAATCTGGTGGGGAATTTTTATTGGTCTTTTCCTACCTCTACTTATTTACACGCTCCAGAGGATGAATCCTTTCTTATTAACCAGTAAGAAAGCCCAGCATTCAGCAAGGATTTGAAAGTAGAGTCTCCAGCAGTACATTTTAATGAGTGGTATTCTTGGAAAGCACTCAGTTGACCATAGTAGCTGAATTCCTGACTGCAGCACACCAGTCAGTGTCAAACACTCGGGATAAGTTGTTTAGAAATAAACCCGTGACACAGGAAATAGAGTAAGAGGTGGTTCTGTGCTGTCTGAGGGTGGAAGGAGCTGGAGAAAATCCATCACTGTTTATGTGGTTGTATTTGTGACACATGGGAGCTGAACTAACAGCGGAAGTGGAGAATAAATAAATACTCAGCAGAGAGAGTGATTATGGTTAAAATACAGATCCCTAGTCCTGGAAGTGTGACCTAGGGCCAGTTGCAAGGAATTCATTCTCATTGATTATTTTATAGAGTATATCTACATTCTGAAATAACTTCTAGCTAGTTATAGTAATAATAATGGCATGTGTTAGTGTTGTAATCTCTTAAGAGCTCACATGTCTTTTTATAGAAACATTAATTCTTTTGGCAAAAAAAATTTGTGATGTTCTTTCTAAAATACTGAGGAAGAATATTTTTGCAACTGCTGCTTTGTATATTTTGGGTCTCATGCATGATTTATCACTTACTAAATTTGAAATCCAAATTATGGAACTGGCTATAGCTATTGCCAGAAAGCAGAATCTGCAGTGCTGGAAAAGGACTAAAAAGGTTATCATCTGACTAAGCTGCAACCTTTCCTGGAACAATATTTGTATTGTAGGTTACTAACAGCTTTGCAATCCACAGGTGCTCACTCACAATAGCAAAAGTGTTGTAATTCATCTATAATCAGGACATTATTTTTACTGCAAGTTATTCCGACTTTGCAGTCAATGGAAACTAACCAGCTATAGTAAAAGTGTTGTCATTCATCTATAACTGGGACAGTACTTCCATCGTAAGTTATTCCAACTTTGTAGTGAATGAAAACTTACCAGCAATAGTAAGTGTGTTGTCATTCAACTAAAATAGAAGGGAGGAGAAAGGAGAAAGATGGACAAAATGCAGAATGTATCTGCAATGGAGTCTGAGTAAAATAACCCCACGGTAGTGCAAGGTAACGTTAAGTTGGTGAAATTCAGTACAGGCTTCCAACTGAAAGGCTACACCATTTCCTTTGGCATCTGCCCGCCTAATCTCAGACAGCATAAAGGGGTACAGTGCAGTGAATGTGCTCTGGTGAATTCAAACCTCAGCTGGGGTTGTAGAAGCTGCTTGCAGAGCTCAGTGCACTTTAAAGTAGAGTAAGTAAGATAAGTAATACCTGAGGATTTAAAGCTGCCATAGACATGGGAGACTGCAGTGTAGACATCCCACACATAGCTCTTCTGGGCAAGAAGCCTGGCCTTTTTTATGCTACAAGAGCACTGTAGGTACCTAACAATTATTAATAATAACTAATTAATAATGCTCCAAATCCTTGGCTGTGATTGAGTACCTCAGAGAATAACTCACCTAGAGTTGTAAGAAAAGATGGCTCAAAACAATCTTAACTAAATCCTGGGCCAGCTTTGTGCCTTGACTTTGCTCCAGCAAAAGATAAAGCAGCAGAGTACAATTTGTTCTAAGACATTAGCAAGGGAGAGAGAAGGACATAATGAATACATTTGATTGGTAATGCATAAGAAGTGGTGGCAAACAAGACTATTAGGGGATAAGAGTATAAAATTAGATGGAAAGGAAGAGATGAGATTGGTCAATTCCACTGGTCCTAAATCAACATTTCATCTCAGAAACCACAAAAGTCAGCAGCTGAGTGGAGGCGAATGAAAGACTAGGGTCAAAACAACAATCATAATTTATCTGAGTGTCAGAAAAGCATTTTTACACTAAGTACACAACACATCGATTTACACTTGATAGACAGTACTTACACAAAAAGATACTTCAACCCTCACTGAATAGCTTGCAGCACAATACAAATTCTTTTCATGGTAAACCTAGGGGGGAAAAACAAACCCTTTTTATACAAGGAATTTTCACTTAAGTATTTGAGTCTACTGGGAACAGCCTGAAAGACACATACCATACTCCCCACTCACATCTACCCAGGCTTGTGGTTCGATGTGCTGATGCTGTTTGACAGTGTGGGGGGCACTTTTAGGAACCTTGGTGGAAAGAAGCACGGCAGAAAGCTTCAGCTGCTGTTTTCATTCCTCTTTGGAGGTGCCTGACGGAAGATCTAGGAGTTGTTTACTTGTACAACGAGGAGCAGAGTATGCTGATAGGAAGACCAAGTTTCACCTTTGGTAGTCAAAGGACTGTGTTTGATAGCAAAAGATTTGCTTCCTTTGCTGGTGATGTTGTTTTGCCTTTTTTACAACATAATAAAAGTATTATTCCTTTAAGAAAAGACCTTCTTGGCTATTGTTGTTATCTGCTGAGTCATGCCAATATTTGTTTATTTTAGCATTCCTAGAGAATTTTAGAGATAGTTTACTCCCCCTTCCCCAGAAGGCAGTTAGGAAAAACTGTGTAATTTCATAAATAAAATAAAACTAAGGAGTTTTTAGTTGAAAGCATTTCCTTTCATGGTCTGCTATGCAACAGTTCAGCAGTTGGTTGACTCATGGTAACCTGAAATTGAAAATGACTTGGAGCTGAGGGAAAGCAAGAAGAGGACAGGAAGAATTATACTAGCCAGTATACTTTAACTATCTATATAATAGTTGGATCTTCATTTTGTTCAACTAACCATGACCTCAGAGAATTGGTTCAGGCATCAGCTCTGTGTCTGATCCAGAGCAAAAGATACATTTATAAATTAGATTAACATAATCACTGATGAGAATAATATGTTCAATTACTTAATTCACTTCTGTTTTGATAAACTTCAGTGCTACCAGAAGCACACTGTCAGAGCTATTTTCTTTTAGTCCACCGTTTTTGGAAAACCCTTCACTATCTCTGGAGAGAAAGCTCACGCTTTGTTGTGGCAACTCTCTCACTTCTATTATATAACAAATTGTGTTTTCTTTCTATACTAGTTCCATAGAAAAGAATCCAAAGAAGTGAAATAAAGTATCTTTTCTTATGTATTCAAAAACCAAACTTTGGGTGTATTAGGTGAAAAGAACAAAAACCCTCAAAAAAGCCAAAACCACCAGAAAAAAATAATACTTTCCCCTGATCCAGAAACTTTGACTGTATCCTGCATTATGTTATTTACAGTCATTGAAGAAGGCCAAAGTAATCTTGCATATGAGCTGCTGTCCTAGGACACTGACTTTTGTAAGACATATGAAGATCTCAGCTACTTTTTGCTTTCTAAAGAAACAAAGACTGGAAAGTGGGAGATTGTCTCAGAGAAGACAGGGGAAATCACACTGTGAGAGAAAGAATTACTCTGCTTTTTGAAGCTTTTGGATTCCCTGAATGTCTCCAGAACATTAGAACATCATGCATCTTCCTCATGACCCTGTATTAAGGGTGATAAAGACTGGTGAGATGTGATGGGATCTGCTGGGTTTGCTTGGGATTAGCCTGCCAAGCTGTCCCCAGCTTGCATTTGGGCGATATGAAACAGGAACACATCCTCTTCTGGTTTATGCATGGGTAAGCAATTTCTGTAGCATTCAGAAAGCCTTCACTGCTCAGGTTGTTGGGAGAGCAGGCACACCGTGCTGCTCAGCCAGAGCTGGCTTAGCTTTTGGAAGCACCTGAATTCCAGTCCTCACTTGCAGCTGAGCAGCAGAAAATGCAGGAGGGAAGAATGCAAAGTGGTTTTGGGGTATTCTGAGCTGCTTGGATCCAGAGGAAGAACGGCATGAACACAATCCTTGGACACTGATTAGAAGAACCATTATGTGGCTCTGCCTTGTAGGTTGTCACGGGCCTCAGGTTATTAGTGTGACACCACCAGCTAAGAAGGCTTGCTGCCACTTTGGTTTTGTCATTGCCAGAAGAAGGGAGAGCAGTGGGAGAGGATGCAGAGGGCATTGACACCCATGCTGTGCTGCTGGAGGATCCTGTCAGCGAGAAAGGTGACAGCAGAGTCACGCCAAGCGACTTGGACACAGGACATACTGAGCTATTACGGCTTGGGAGCATGTGGTCTGCTACAAGAGCAGGCATATTTCTCAATGCATAATTCAGTACCATAAACATGTACACGACACTAACTCCTTCTTCTGCTAGACTACTTCAATTTCTCAACAATAACCTCACTAAATTGACCTGGAAAGAAAGAGGCATTCAACGTTTATAATTTGATTTCTGCCCTATATAATTTTGGCTCCTCTCCTTCTCATGTAGCTGCTAATATGAGTTACTGCAGATTTAGTATTTTGTTACAGATTAATTCAATGGGATTTTTGACTAAGCTAGCATCCAAAATGACTTTGCACTTGGTGACATCTGCGATGCCAGCATGCAAAATGATTTTTCTGGCATTTTTACAAATTCTATTGTACCACTGAGTAGGTCTTGAGAAATCCAGCTATGACCATATCTGATTTGGCTAAGAACACCTTGTAATATAACACAAATAGCGATAATAGTTATTTTGCAGGAGTAAAAGCTTCTGGCTATTTTCATTCCCTCTCAGGCAGACCTGGAGCCCAGGCATACTTTTAGTGGTTTTTATATACCTGTCACAGTCAAAATTCTTTTATGTTTGAATAATGAGACCAGACAGTTGCATCAGGACAGTCACATTATGATCCTGATTTTTTTCTGTTATAGAATAACTGGTATCGTTGAACAAAATCCTTCTTCTGTCTCTGCCATTCCTTCTACTGATATACCTGCTGAAGCCCATTAGACATACATCTTAGATGTATCTATATAGATACAGACTTTAACATTTCTGCTTGGCTGCCTTCAAGAGTTTTTTCACTGCCAGAATGGCTTTCTTTCCAAACCTTTTATTTGGAGGGTGTTCTGGTAATAGGAAGCCCAGCTCTTAGAAAATTCATTATGCCTTAAGAACTGAGGTCCACTGCCAGTCATTAGAGTCTTCAGCATTTGCTGAAAGCAATTAAGGTAATTTTATTTACCAGATTCAATTGTGTCCCTTTTTCAGACTGTCTTTACATTGTTAACAAAGGTACACAATTTTTAAGATCACGATGTCGCTTGTCTTCTGATTACTCATCTGCATTTTGTGATTCACCTTTACTGCAACATTTTCATTGACATCATCCCTATGCCAGTAAAAACATGTTTTCTTACCAAACTATTCTTCATTAGCTTCAGTTTCAGAGCCTGTCCTTGTTCCCAAGTTAGTGTCTTCTACTAACAACTGGCCATTTTTTTTTTCATTGATTAGTTAATCTCTTACTGTGCTACTGACACCATTAATTGACAGTATCTCACTGATCAAGGAAGAGGTGGTGTCAAATAGATGAGATTCATGGTAAAATCCCCTTACATGTGTGGAACCTACATCAGAAATACATATATATATATTTAAATTATTTTTTAATATATCTAGAAGTCTAGACACTTATAAAGATGTTTACACCTTTGTTTCTCCTGTATATTTTTACTACTAGACCCTAGAAACCATTGGTGTTCACTAGGGAAAAATGAAATTGGAGGTGCAAAAGCACCAAGATGGCTTAACGATATTGGGAATTGCAAATAAATAAAAAAAAAAATTACAACGCGTCTTTTAACCAAGACGGGAGGGAACGCGTATTCACTCGCTAGCTGACAGAAAGGAGCCGAACACGAGCTGGGTTAAAGTTACTTGCACAGTGTGCTGGGTCCGCTGCGGGCACCGAAAGCGGAACGCAAATCTGCATTTAGGACAGGCACGGGGCTACCGAAAGATGCAGAACTAACGTTCCTGTATTCCTGAAAAAGGCTCAGGCCACTGCCTTCCCGGGACACCGAGGGGCCACCGCCCGCGGCGCTGTCGCCGGTCGGTACCTGCCGAGCTCGGGCAGAGGGGCTCGGGGGCTCCGTGCTCCGCCCGCACCGGGCCAGGGCTCCCGGCCGGACAGAGCCCGGTGCGGGCAGCGTGGGGCAGGGTCAGCGGGCGGGGGGAGGCGCTCACACGCCGGGCTCCGCCGGCCGGGACGCGGCTCTCCGGGAGCCCATCCCGCCCCTCCGCCCCGGGGCGACTCCCGAGGCCGCCGGGGAAGACTCTGCCTCGGGCGGGGCTCTCCCGAGGAGCCGCCACCACACCTGCGGCCGCCCCGTCCCTCCACCCCCACCACCCCGCGCCGGGGCCGCCGAGCCCCAGCGAGCCGCCCGGGCACAGCGCGGCGGTGGGCGCGGCCTCCTCCTCCGCCGCCCGCCCCTTCCTCCCTCCCTCCCTCTTCCCTCCCGCCCGCCGCTCCCGCAGCCCGGCCGCCGCCGCTCCCGCGGCCCCGCCGGTGTCTCCGGCCGCCCCCGCCCGCCCGTTCTCCTCCTTCTCCTTCTTCTCCTTTCCCCCCGCCCTCCCGCGCGGTGGTTCGCTCCTCCCCGCCCCTTTCCCCCACCTCTCTCGTCCCCTCCCACCCCCGGCTCCCCGCGGTGGTCTGGCCCGGCCCGGCGGCGGAGGGAGCGGCGGGGCGGGCGGGCGGCGCTGCCGGGCGGGGGTCTCGCTCTCCGGGGGTCGCGCTCTGCGGGGACGCGGCGAGCAGCGGAGCGGGGCGGGGGAGACAGCGCAGCGAGCGAGGCAGCGGGAGCGGCTCCCCGACCGCGGGCAGCACCATGAGGTGAGCGGCCGGCTCCGGAGCGGGCGGCGGGCGCGGCGTGGGGGGCGATGCTCCGCGCCCCCCGGCTCGGCCGGCGCACAGCCGGGAACGGGAACGGGAATGGGGGCCGGGGGGATCGGCCGGCGGCGGGGGAGGGGGCCGGGCCGAGGGGAGCCCCACGGTGGGGGAAGGGCCCATTGTTAGTGGCGGCGGGGGAAGGGCGGCCCGCCGTCCCCGTCCCCCCGTGGCGGCGGCGAAGTTGCGGTCGGGGGGCGGCGGCGGGGCCCGAGTCCGGGGCGGGGGGCGGCTCCGCTCCGGCGCCTCCCCCGGGCCGGGCACGGCGTGAGCCCCGGGCGCCCGTCTCCTTTCTTTCTCTGCCGGTGGTGATTTTTAACCCCCCTTTCCCTCCGCCTTACCCGGCGCGTGTTGCATTGCAGCAGCAGCTGGGCTTTTCCCTCGGTAATCAATAAAGAGGCGCCGGGGGGAAGGAGGGAGGGGGGGATCCCCCTCTCGGCAGCCGGGGAAGTGTCGCGTTCGGAGGTTTGGGATGTAAACACAGAGGTGGCCGCGGCTGGGGGCGGCAGGGAGGGAGGTGGGTGCCCGCCGCCTTCCCGCCGGGAACTCCCGCTCCCCGCCGGCTCATTCATTTGAAGGCGATTTTCTGCGTCCCGGCCCGTCCCCCCCTTCCCCCCGCCATCCTCCCCCCGGCTCTCCTTTAGCGC